GCCCACAACACAGTTTCCCTGCATTGCAGAGTAAACGTGGTGTGAGCCTATTGCAGAGTGAGAAGAAAAGGATAGTTGTTAGCTAATGAACTGGCAAGCACCAGCTCACCCTTGTAAACAACAAACCTCTCTTCAAAGCTTCGACTCTGATTCAGCTGTCTAGCCTGGTCCCACAACCACGCTCCTTTTCGCTTTCCCGAGCCGTCAAGCTGCGCCGGATATAGATCTCCTTATGACAAGCAGAATTTTTAAGCAGTTGAGCTCGGGAAAAAGCGGAGGCCCAATGACTTCTAAATGGCAGTTCTACTTTCACCAAGCGCGGCGTATTAATCGTTCTTCTGCCCATGTGGAAGATGTTAACTGGTCGACATTCCAAGTCGAGAACGTTCAACACCTCACAAACTTTCTTTTCTGTATCCTCTTGACGCACTGAAGCAGGGGTTCAGTGCGCCCGTCCCCACTAAATTTAGGGAGGCCCGCGATAATAATGCTTCTAGACCTACAATTTGCCTTGATCGCAGTCTTGCCAAACTCTCCAACCTCACGAGAATCTCATTTGTTATTTCTCGCATCTCAGGGTTATTAAGACTAAGAGTTTTTGAATAACTGGACGATTGATTCGGTACGAGAATCATTTGAGATGCTCTGAGGCGAAAGCGAGGAGAGAAGTTGCGACGCTTTAGATTTGCGAAATTGCGATGCACTAGAATCCATGACGTGTTACGGCTGAGGAGTGGAATCAGCCGGTTTTGGAGCAGTGCGTGATCTTATAGATTTGGGAGGCATTGCAGTTTCAGGAGGCATGTCAATGGAAGTAGTGCAACAAGACGGGAGGTGCAATAGAAGCAAAGTTATTGATCGATATGCAAATTAGACAGAACGAAAATCGTATCTCAGCGCCAAAAAATCAAGTCATCACCTAGCAACGAGTAAGCACTTGAACGAAAGTTCAACAGACAAGAAGAAAAACAAGGATGGGAAGACTAAAATTTGACTGATATTGTAAACAACTGAGTGCTAACCTGGAAACAACTGCTCACGGTCGGCGCAGGATATGAATGTTTAGCGATTAGCGTTAACAATTGAGCGTAGTCTGGTCGCATAGCAGATCTTATTGTTAGATACTCATTTAGCTTAGGTTTCTCTCAAAAAGGATTTTACGCTGAAGGAAAATCTTCACGAAAATTTGTGCCGTTTTTAGACCTGCTCAAACAATCAGAATAATGACAGACATACGCTTTGAACAGATCTGACGCAGTATTTTTCCCTCTTTTCATCAGTTTGATGTTCGCTTGAAAAATCGTCATTTCAACCTATGCTTTTACTCATCCTGAATTTAGCTAATTTCAAAATTTCCATTTTCAACATTTGGACTAGCTTTGATAACAGTTAAATAGAGTAAGCAAAATGCAATGTGATATACTTTAAGCATAGATAGGCTGCGCTAATTTTCTACAATTATCATTTTGTTGGTATCAAATTCCACATATTTATCTCAAAGCTGGTGGAACATCAGACGTCAAACAGCTAGGCTGTCATTTGGTGCAACTTCTTTTCCATTTCTGGCAATTTTTTTTCTTTCTGTTTGTAAAGGGCCTCGTCGAAGAATTGCCATAGTTCTAGTATTTTTGATGCGTCCTAGGATGTACACAAAAATTTCATGAATTAATAATTCGAGGCGGTAGAAGTTCAATTGTTCGTTAAAAACAGTGTGCAATCATCATCGATTTTTGGAAGTTCCAATTTGCGAAGGTTTCATGGTGTTTGAAGCGTTTATATATTTCACGACTTCGCAAATGTCAAAATTTGTGATCTCTATATATAAATCGGTCAGAAGTGGTTCATTGGTGGTTAGTGGCGGTTTAGTGGCCCAGGCATGTATGGGTTGGAGTGGGGAAGGGGGGGGGGGGAGAAGTGGGCGGAGCTAGCAAATTTCGAAAAAATCCACATTTCTTTAGAATCTATCCACCGTAGTCCTACAGAAAAAAGCTATCTTGCTAATCAGATATGTTCTCTGTAATCAAAGGGTCGGATAACATCTATGGTTTGATTTTCTAAGGAAGTAGTAGCACTTGATTTTTTCTTGCTCCTCACTCTTGGCCTCGGCGCAAGATTTAGTCAAAATATTGAGGTTCTTGGATTGACCAAAAACTTCGCTCATAGTGGTTTTTGGTCCCGATCTTTACGAAAATCCTATTCATTTTGCACTAGAGAGTCATACAGTAAAGCTAAAGTAAGATAGAAGTGGCTTAACCCATCAAAATCGCAAAATTGCCTGCACCTTTTGCCTATCCTTTGCGAAAATTGTCTGCATATTTTTGTGATTTCACAACTTTGTAAACACCTCCCGGACCATGCTTAGCACAGATCTTTATCTGCACTGTTCATCAGATTATGATGTTACAAAATCGCCTTCTCATGAATTGTCTTTCAAATTCGAAAGTCGTGTAATTTGGCAAATATTCTATCCTATAATGTGCCACCAGCAGCAAAATAATGTAAGAAAGTAGTTGTTAGTACGTCGAGAATCCATATAAGCGGAAATTATAAGATTTGCTTCATACATGCATTCGAACAGTTATGACTTTGGAATGTGAAAATTCGGCGATGTCGGCGAAGTCGGCGACTTTGCGTTTTTCGGCGATTTTGGCGAATTCGCCGAAATCGCCGAATTCGCGGAGTATTTTCACATTCCACTGTCATAACTGTATGGCATTGTCATAAGTATGAAAAAGCTTATGGTTCATCTCAGCTTGAAGGTTGGATGAAAACATTCACAAGCCGTTTCTGATGTTCATATGCTAGCAGCAGATGAGAAAATTTCCGTTTTATCAGTTCACAGATACAATACCGCTCACAGAATGTGCAACAAAATACAGAATGTAACTTGCAAAATTTTCATGACTTTCGCGAAATTCTGAAAATTCCGCGAATTTCCCGGAAATTCGCGAAATTCCGGGAATGTCGCGGAATTTTCGCAATTCCGCGACATTCACTGAAATTTTGCAAGTTATGCGAGTGGTATTGTAGTTTCGCAGTTCGTCAGTTAGCGTGTATAGTGTGCACCAAGCATATTAAGTTACAAATGACTCGACGATATGCAGGCTGCCATAGACGACATATACGCAGGGCAAACATTTTTTAATCGAACAGTCAAGTTTTATGTCTTAACTCTTTTTCCCTAAAGCCATGAAAAGTTTCATACCCGCCGAAGAGGGAAGCAGCTTCAGAAGAAAGCTTCATATCCTGAAGCTGCATATATCTGGATTTCACGTTGTCTATCTATCCGTAAATATACCCATCATTCTTCATTATGAACATATTGAACGGGAGCAATAAGTTGTACAAGCCGCGTGGATCATCGCAAATTTCATGACTTCGAAACACCACTTGTTCTTACCAGAAACATGATTAACACTGTTGAGTTAGACAATCAGTACAGCTTTGGGATGTTTTCATTGACTTTGAAGAAAGAAAAATGACTTCAAAAAAATAGGCGGTCGTCCCTCGGGGAACATCAGGAGATCATACAAAAAGCTGGAAAATGCGGTTTGTACAGCTTCTTGCTCCCGTTTAATATGTTCACAGTGAAGGGTGGTGGGAGTACCTAAGGATAGATAGACAGCGTGAAATTCAGATATCTTGAGCTTCAGGATATTAAGCTTTCTTCTGAAGCTGCGATTCCTTCCCGACGACAATGTTAATGTGCGGCCCTTAGTGTTGCATCCCCATGCCACCTGCCGAAGTTTCAAGGAATGGTTAATGTTTTGTCAACTTTATTGCTGGCTCGTTAACTTTTAAAATTGATGTTTTAAGCTTTAATCTCTTTTTTACAGTTTAGCAATGCTTTTGAACCCCAATTGGGGAATTACATCAATGCAAATACCAATTTTCTATATCAAAAATCAAAGTATGCTGCGATCATATCGAAATTCCTTACAATAAATAGCGGCTGAAGCGCATTATTTACCAGTCCACTTTCGTTTCTTTGACGGTGTTGTTCCTCAATCCATTTGAGAAAAGAACCTAATCTAGTCTTCCCGAAGCTGAAAAAGTTATTAACATTAATGCTCTCCCATGGATCGAATCTCTCGTTTTAGAGCAAAGTAGTATCTGAGCAGGGAAGACTCATGAGATGTTTTAAGTCAGGGTTCAAGAAATTTCAAAAACCTAAGATCTAACAATCGAAATTGCTTTGAAAGCTCCGGTCTCTAAGTTACTCTCATAATCTAATACATATTACAAAAATAGTCGCTATATTTTTGCTGTTACTAGTATGCGAGAGACAAAATAGAGTAAAGTTAGGAAAATAGCTAATTTTCAGTTTTTAATCACATTTCTTATTTTCTGTAAAACAATGCTTGCAGATTTGAAACTTTCTGGTTTGTGCTTGCAAACATAGAATGCTTAGCCCAAGCCAACAATACTTCGTTTACAGCACTCTGGTTCTCATTTTCAGCTACGAGGGAAACACAATATTTCTTAGTGAAGCACTCGTGCGGAGAGTATGGAAGGAAAGTATTCAAAAATATATTTTTTTAGGTTACTTATTGTACAGATTGTCGTGCGAATGTTTTAGATGCTTTAAAGGCTTGCTTTTCGAATGTTATGTTTCTACAATTTGATCTAATATTCCGCGGTAGTATGAGGACCTTGCAGTAACAAGGTTATCATGCAATCATAATCAGTATGTTTGGTTAGTAAAAGTTACCAAATTTATGTGAAGTAATTGTCGACTTCATCAAAATATATTTCTTATTATACGACAATTGAGAGGCATGTTTGCAGAATGCGAGTACTCATCTTCTTGTTTGTTCTCCCACCATGCATCGGTCTTTACATCGGATTCGATATCGGGTGGGCACAGACAGTTGGAGTAAAGGCGAAACTTCTTTGTAACGGTGAACCCCGTGCTAGCACAATTGTTATACTGTATGAAAAAGAAATGGGTGAGTTGAACTGCAAAGTTGAGCTCAGTTCAAATCATAATTTCAGTTTGGGACAAGAAGCTCGCTACTGCCACATCGGACCAACGTGGATTTTTCTCGATTGCAGGCACTGCTACAGAGATAAGCCAAATTGAACCTCAACTCCGCATTTGGACTATGTGCAGGCGTCAAGGGGTACTATTTGTTCTTCTTGCTGATGAGCGTTTACTTTTCCGATAGAACGTCGAATTACGAAATTTATAAGATCACACGAATGATATTCAGGAAGCGAATTCTGATTCCTACTCTTCCAAGAAGATCTGCATAGATATCCCACCAGAATATATAAGCAAAGGAAAACAAGTAAAGCAATACTGGCAAGTCGAAATTGAGCTCTCCAAGGACGGCAACTTATGTCCATATGCCCGATTTTTCTGATGAATAAAGACTGTCGGCCGCATCTTTGATTTGTATGGGACATGGTTGACGGCACATGAACGAGTCTAAGATGCACTTTGAAAAATTATACGCCTTCTTTTCTGTTTTCCTCTTCTTATTCCTTCAAGCTACTAGTGAACGACGCGATTTTGTGTCCTGCATGCCAAGAGCGCATCGTATTCTCGGTCATCATCTCAACTGATGCACCTAAGCAGTGAACATGCTCCTAGCTTTTAAAATTAGTGCAAGCAAATCCACCCCGAATGCTTTTATGGCCGTAATGCCCAAAATTATACCCCTCTTAAGTGCTCTCCTCGAATGCCCCATTTCACACCGCACTTACACTTTTTCCTCCCAATTTTATACTTCCCAGTTCCCATGGCAGTGCCCATATCTTCTCCGAGGGTTTCCTGGCCTAAGTATTCTAACTTCCCTCCTGTAAAATTTTTACAAATGAGAGCGCTAAGTTCCACGGTGCCCATTACTCTCCCGGAAGATGCTGAAGCCAGTTCATGCGAAAGCCCCAAAAAACATCCCTCAGAACATTATATGAGTCAGTTTTCTTCACCCCCCTCCTCTCCCTAGAATGGGTAGAGAACAGTGGCGCATCCAGGATTTCCGCTCGAGGGGGGGGACAAAAATTTTTTTCAAATGACGGTGCGTGGCGTTAGCCACGCACTCCGAAAAAATTTTAGGGGTGCTTTTTAAAATTTTTGCGGGTCCCCAACCCCTAAAATCTGGAGGGGGGCAAAATTTTTAAAAATTATTTTAATTATTTACAAGTATAAACAAGTCACTTGCACATTTTTATAACCCATATAAGTAACTTTTAAAAATTTGGCGACCCATTCTCGGGGGGGGGGGCGCCCCCCCCCCCCCCGCCCTTCCCGCCCCCCCCCCCTCGGTACGCCACTGGTAGAGAACTATATATCGCCGAAAGGGGAGAACTCGTGCGTACATTTGCAAGATTACGTCCCTTTGCATGCTTGAGAGGTGCGCATTTGTAGCAGTTGCCGCGAAGAGTCTCCGCTTCTGATAAAATTTAATCGCTTACCACCTCCCCACCTCTCATCACAATTCTCTCCTGAGTGCTCTGTTAGGTCCCAACGCTTTCTCACTACTTTAGTGTAGCAAAGTTCCTGCACAGAGGACACTACTAGGCCATTCTCCGTGCTTCTGCCTGCCCAGAGCTGCTATGACCAACGCATGCCAAAGCACCAAGTCCAGTCCTCAAATCTTTCTGAGGCCAGAGTGCCCAAGGTTGTCCACCCTTCCCACTTTCAAAATTCTCGCGTTGCCCTGTCACGCCAATTCTTTCTTGCTATCTTACTATCTCAGGGTTCTCACGTCGGAGCCCAGCTCTTCTCCATGGGATGCGAAAGCACCAAAACCATCCGAGTCTTTTCATAGCCAGAGTGCTCAAACTTCCTCTCCCATCCCACATTCTCTCCTCTCTTAAGAGCGCTGTCAGTTTCCAACTCTTTCTCGCTACTTTAGTTCCTCAGAGTTGCCAGTTGGAACCCCTCTCGGTGGGGTTACTGTGACCACGCGTGTGGGGTGGGGGAACGAAAGCCGCCAGTTTGAGCCGATTTCGCGGCCAACTGGTCCTTTCGCAGTGTTGTTGCATGTCGTTCCAGGACCAGCAGTCCGAGGAAGCGGCCCAGACTGGCGGCTTTTGTTCCCCTACCCACGCGTGTGAGAGCACCAAAGTCATTGCACGAGTCCTTTCATAGCAGGAGTGTCCAAATATAATACAACCTCTCACATGCTTCCACACCCCCCTCACGATCTTTTCCTCCTAGAATGCTGTCATTCCCAACTCTTTCTCACTACTTTAGTTCCTTGAGTTCCCATATTGGAACTTCCGCGGGGTGTTCTAGCCGAAGTACTCGAATTTTGCTCCTATTGAGCTTCCTCAAAAGAAGGCGTTAACCTCTACGTGCGAGAGCACCAAAGTCATTGCCCAGTCTTTTCATGGCCAGAGTGCCCAAAGTTAACCTCCCACATGCTCTCCCTCCCCTCTATACTTGGGTAGATTCGAAATTTTTCATCGAATGAATAAATATCGAATAAATTTGAAAATGAGAAATTTCGAATTAACGAATACCGATTAAATTCGAAAATAAAAAATCTCGAGTAAACGAATATCGAATAAATTCGAGGCCTGAAAATTCTCGAATGAATCCCGAATAAAAATGGATGATCAAAAATATCGAATGAATGAATATCGATTACACAGATAGATAGATAGATAGATAGACAGGTAGACAGACAGACAGACAGACAGACAGACAGACAGACACAAAGACAGACAGACAGACAGACACACAGACAGACAGACAGACAGACAGACAGACAGACAGACAGACAGACAAACAGACAGACACACAGACACACAGACAGACAGACAGACAGACACACAGACAGACAGACAGACAGACAGACAGACAGACACACAGACAGACACAAAGACAGACAGACAGACAGACACACAGACAGACAGACAGACAGACAGACAGACAGACAGACACACAGACAGACAGACACACAGACACACAGACAGACAGACACACAGACAGACAGACAGACAGACAGACAGACAGACAGACAGACAGACAGACACACAGACAGACAGACACACAGACAGACACACAGACAGACAGACAGACACACAGACAGACAGACAGACAGACAGACAGAGACAGACACACAGACAGACAGACACACAGACAGACAGACAGACAGACAGACAGACACACACACACACACACAGACAGACAAACAGACAGACAGACACACAGACAGACAGACAGACAGACAGACAGACACACACACACACACACAGACAGACAAACAGACAGACAGACACACACACACAGAGACAGACAGACAGACAGACAGACAGACAGACAGACAGACTTTCCTTTTCTTCTTTGAATGCGGGTGCACCAATTCAAGGAGGCGCTATCAAAGCTGTGCATCGCAGTTCGACACCCACTGTCACCCCACGCCATGTTGAGGCGGCCGATTATTGTGAGGTGCTTTTTCATGGTGCTGAATATTTAGACAGCCATTTGCTCAACTGCAGAATCAAAGATATGTTCGATTTACTGTCTCATATACACGATGGAATTTTTCAAATAGTTTATTTGTACGCAAATATTCGGTCCTATAGGCTCGACCAATCGCAAGCACCGGGAGCCCTGCATTTGATTGTCTGTAGCTGTCCTCGCGGTAACCCTCTTTCATATCTTCTATTGAAGAATTCAGATACAGACTTCGAAAAATGAGCAAACTTCGAATGTTAGCATCTGTCGATGTTACACTTTGCTCACAAGTGTAATGCATTGAGAAAGTGACTGCTTTTTAGTGTGATTAACTGGATAAATTTAGGTCAGTTCAAAAGTTTTATTAGTTTTTTGAAATAAACCCTCAAATTTCGTACAGGAAAGACAAATAAGCACTTAAAGTTACATCCGATGCAAAATTTTTTCCTCTTTCCAGATGCCACATACTCAATGTGATTAGTTGAAAGGCGCCAAGATAATCTCTAGGAATTTCGACTTTGTTTTCATCTGTCCAACACTAACTTTCAAAAATTTTTATAGGATAGTTCCGAGGAGCTTTAATAACCAGCAGGTAGGGCAAATATTTTTCCAAATGGAGCAATTTGTTTCCTTTTTCAGCTACTTCTTATAGATTTTACTACAATATTGTTGTAGAGCCATCCCTTATATTGGAACTTTCTCGCTCACTATAGGCTAGGTCGACATGGTCTCTGTGGTTGCGGCGTACCCGCCGCACCTTGATATATGTGTATGTTGTTATGAAACTGTTCCTAGTGAATCCTCGGCATGTACGCCGAAAGACAGAGGAGAACTCCGTGTTTTTCTAGTAAATAGTCAACGGCTCAACGCGTTCCACATCAAATATATTACAAAATTCCTGAGTTTTGGAAAAAGCGCAAGACCTACCACCGCACAAACGCGAATCTCCAAAGCTCAGTCATGACTATCACTAGTCCCACAAAGTAGATGAGCGATCTTCGCTTGAAAACACGAAAATTTTGAAACTCAAGGGTTGTCAGTGCGCCCTCGTGAAATAGAGGATCACTGCGATTCTCGAAGCAAATATCCTATCTCGCCAAGAAAAGACAGCTTTCAGAAAAAGGAGAAAAGCTGCATCGACTAGTAGACTAGTACCTGAGCTGTCTACTATTTCATGTTCTATGGGGTTAGAATAGGCGGAATGTAAACTTTGGTGACTACAAGAAATATGTTTTAAAAATTCTGAAAGACAAATTACGGAGCTACAGCAATATTACTATTTTCATTTTTTATGAGAAAATTTTTGCAGGCAAATGTCGCTCTTTGGCAACCCGCATATGCATCGGCGTTGTTTCTTGCTTCATAAGCATGAAAATTCAGAACGGAGAAAAATTGTCTATTAGATCGGTTCGAAAGTCTTGCCGATTTTCTGAAATGACCCACAAGTCCCACAGGGATGTTTATAGTATATCAAAGAGTTTTATCAGGAATTACACTTGTCAAAATTTTTGCATTGCTTTCCCCTCCAACAAATCATGCAAGGCTATGTGTGGGGAATCTCTTTCCGAGAAAAGCGTTATGTTTGGCCTGATTTATTTTGTGCACTCTCAGAACAACTATACAGTGTTTTAGCTCCTCGAAAAGACATAAACGCATATATCATCACTTCAAAAATGGTCTGAGTACAAAAAATTTTTGTTTTACAGATCTGAACAGCTGCCGCGATGCTGTGTCCTTATGACAATCAGGCTACCAGTAGTAATACTGCAAGAAGTTACATCAGAAATTTTCGTTAACCTAACAAACTTGCGTGCATATGTGCGTATGCACAAAGATGCTAAACGGGACGTGGCGTGTATATAGGCATATGCACACGGTCGTCAACGTGTTAAATTTTGAAAAAAAATAACACTTACGCTTTGATTGCAAAGTTGCAGCGGCTGTTCTCTA